TAAATATACAGAAGACGTGTGGCCTCCACGTTCTTAAGATTATTTTTATGAGACCATCACTTTAATAAATATTTTCTGTACTACTTTTTTATTTTTGGAAGTAATATTGACACTTTAAAAATATCATTTTACACTCCTCATAAGTATATTTTTCTTTCTTAATATAGAAAAATATATTTTTCTTTCTTAATATAGAAAGTTTGGAGTGTAGAATGAGATTTTTAGAGTGCTAATAACAATTTTTTTTAAGTAATATTAGAAAGATTAAATTTATGAAGTAAATTGTGTTATTAATAAGAATAAGTACGTTTATTAACGTGTAAGTAATAAACCAATCATCAACTTTTATATCATTTAATTTTCAAAATTTTATCTACAAATTTAACTTATCTATTATTATTCTCTTTTTTAAAGTTGAAAATCTCCATGCTCTTTAGAGAAAAATTAGCACATAAAATATTTATTAAGGTGATGATCTCATAAAAGTAATCTCAGGAACGCCGAGGCCACACGTCTTCTGTATTTTAATCCAACTTTTGCTGACTTGTATGGTTATCTTGTCTCCAAAACCGTATCCTAGGAGTCTTCGCACATAGTCTTTTAGCTGAATCATCTGTATTTCTTGGCTATTTCTCCTAGGAACGAAGGTTCAAGGAGCTTTAATCTTACATGTTTGTGTCCAAGTTCTTTTAGTCCTCAACATGCATAACAGACAAGTTTTGCAGAAAATACTTTTGAGTTTTTTAGGAGTCATTGTCGCAATTATGGTCTAAAATATCCATAATATCTCGATATTTCTATCGAAATTTCCGTGTTTTTGGACTACCGATATTTCTGATATCATCGATATTTTAGACCTTGCTAAGTCAATCATGTATCTTACTATGCAATGTATAAAGTGTAAAATATTGTACTAATTCATTATATATAAATGATTATGGTGTGTTTAAACTTCTTTCATTAATTACTACATATTTTCTACACTCACAATGTTTGTCAGCTCACTATATAATCAACTTAAATAAGTTATATATATCATGCAATGCATTTCCTTCCAATTTTTTGTGATAAACTAATAGACAATTGACTAAATAAACATCCTGCAAAGTTTTAATAAAAAATTTCAAGTTTTCTTACAATTTCTCTGGTTTTTATTTAATTTTTATCGATATCAATAATATCCCGATATTTCCTTCGAAATTTTCGTGTTTTTGGACTATTGATATTTCCGATATCATCGATATTTTATACCTTGGTCGCAATCACAGTTTCACACCCGATATATGTTTTTTTAGTTTTTAATTTTAGAAAAATTAAGGTCATCAATGATTTAATCTTAATTCGACGATAAATGGTCATTTAAATTTTTGTACTTTTTGGTACAATTTTTTTGAACCCTTGAGTCTAACAAAACTCCACACATAATATATATATTTTTTATTATTCTACTTTTTGTTACTACAATTTTTTTGAACCCCTGAGTCTAACGAAACTCCACACATAATGTTCTTTTAATATTTTTTTTTTGTATATGGAGTTAAACAGTAATTTGTATACAACACAGAGGAGAAAACACGCAATGTGTATATATTAAAAGATTCTTTTCACACACCGTGTTCCCTAACACCTAGTTAAGTTTAAGCTATATATAAAGTACATACCATAGACAATGTACTCCATATTCACCATGCCACCACTTGATGTTTACCTCCTTGTTTCTTTCTCACTCTTCTTCTTGATCGTGAAGTCATATGGAATCAGCAACACTAGTAGTTCTTCATCCTCAACCAATATTTGCGGCACATATGATTGCGGCAACGGCTTAACCTTTCGCTATCCGTTTTGGCATGGCGAAGCCACCACCGCCGATCAGTACTGTGGCTACCCTGGTTTCGGCCTCACATGCTCCGCCGACGGCGAGCCTATCCTCACCCTACCAACCGACTCATATTATGTCAAACAAATAAACTACACTGATTCCACCGTCCATCTTGTTGATATCGATGTCGTTGGCCATACATGCCCTAGGGCACGACATAATGTAACTCTAGGCACCCTCCCCTTAAATTACTCCCATCCAGATTTGAACCTCAGTTTTTACTTCAACTGCACTTCCTACCCTCCTCTCGTTCCTCCCATTGGGTGTTTGGGAGACGGTAAGATGCAGTCTTACGTGTTTACGGTGGGGAACGAGACGGAGGGCTTTGATTGGTTCGAGAACTGCGAGGAGAATGTGGTGGTTCCGGTGATAAAGACAACGGAGATTACTAGTGGCTTTGATGGTTTGATCGGTGGATTTGGTGGCGCTATGAACGAAGGGTTTGTGCTGGACTGGGGCATGGCTAAGGACTGCGGATCTTGTGAGGCAAATGGTGGTTTTTGTGGCTACAACAACACTGCGCACAATTTTCTGTGCTTTTGCAAAAATGGAACCAGAACCAACGGTGTCTGCAAACAAGGTATGCTATGATCAATTGGTTATCTTAATGATTAAATTTTATTGTTATTTACTAGCTAACTTTAAACTTACTTTGTATGTATGAATAGCTAACATTTTTTTTACAAGCGATATCTTTACTTTAAATTAAATTAAAGAGAAGTTAGGAGAATTGTAACCAATACATACTACATGTCACATAGGAGGTCAGCCTATGTTCCTTTGTAGCTACATCAGTTAGCTACTGTGAAAAATATTTGTCTATCTTTCTTCTTACGTGACGATGTTTCGAACATTTTTACACATATTTCATTTTGGCAGCCGGGCCTAAGTTAATAATTAGTTTCTTCTTTGGGTTGGCATCGATTTGTAGGCAATGGGTTGGCATTGATTTTTGCCCACAGATTTTGAGTGATCAAATACCATCCCCCCACCCCCCACTCGAATGAGGATCCTCTCATGATCCTCTTTGTGAGGATCTTAGGAATCCTCATATTCTAGCCGTTCATCGTATATCGTGCGGTTAATTTTTGTTAGATACTATTTGTATTTAATTTAAAATAAAAAAATCAAATGATTTTAGATCACATGATATACAATGAATAACTAAAATGTAAGGATCGCTAAAATCCTCACAATTTGAATCCGGATAGGATCCAAATCCCCCCACCCCAGCCCCAATAACCAAACCCCAACAAAACTCACACACACACACACACAAAACAATGTACCACCAATAAATATACTGTACAGAAAATGGGCCGAGGCCCAAAATTGTTCTTGCGGGTTTTACACCCGGATCTGGATCAGTTATTTTCGACTTTAAAAAAGTAAGTTGTTTACAAAAGTAATGAATTAGCAAGTTGCCAATAGATATGATATTGAGCTTTAAAAATTTATTTGGATCTACTCAAAAACCAAAAAAACAAATTGGAAAAAAAAACAAAAAATATATATGGAATTTAAATTACCTATTAAGGAATGTTCTTTGTCAATAAAAAAATAAATAAAAAGACCATATTGACTCCGTCAACAAACTTAAAAAACAAAAATCAAAATAAAAGTTATGGACAATTAGCAAATTAAACACAAAATAATTTTATTACCTTTTCTTCAAAGCCTCACAGCTAGATAACTATATCAGTGGGCTCCATTAGGCTAGATAACTATATATCAGTGGCCTCCATTTACTCTTCTACATTTTTCTCCCAAATAAGATAAATTTTTCGTAACGAAATAATTATCCAAAAAACAGTCGCTAAAGATATGGATAACCTTTTCAGTGATAAAAAAATCATTTGAATGTCGTCACTATAAAGCTTTAACAACCATTTTATATCTTCTCTCGTTTTAATTTTGTTTTCAAAATCGTAATAAGCACATGCACAACATGTATACAATTGCTAGTTATATTTCAATTGAAAACTATAGTTAGAAACTTTAATTTTATGAAAAAAGATGAAAGAAATAGACAAAACAGATTTGAGAATGATTTTTTTTTTAATTCTAAATTTCTTCCTTTTGATGCTGCATGCCTCACACACGCTGAAATTTATTGGGTTTAATTTGACTTTTGAACAAATGTAATAAAAGCACGCTATCAATCGGACTCTTGAACTAGTCATATTTCAGTCCTCCAGATGCATGAGAAAATGATCTGTAATTCAAATCTCCCGAACTAGAAAGTTACATTTCTCCCTCTAATAACAACAATTGAGTTCAGTTGAAAACCCTGAAATAAATTATGCCCAAATTGCACTGCCAAGTGCCATCCCGATCAATGGAGGATGCTCTTATGTGTGTTTAGAACACAGACACATATGTCATATGTCATTATGCAAGTGGACAAACACTTAAAAAAAAAAGAAACTTGCCTTCACTTGTATAGTAACATATGACATCGTTACGTGTTCCGGATACACTGAAAAATCTTTCATTCATTTGTTGTTCACCCAAATTTAATAGGCATAGAGTTGTACCACTAGCATCCATTGGAGTAAATCAAGAGTTACTTACTTTATTTTATATAGGGTAGTGCTATTCATACAAGATTCGTCGGTTAGAAATTATAAAGGGTATGAGAGATATAAATAAGTGTGTATAGATGATACACCCCTTATAATCTTCTCCCGTATTACTGCTTTCACATTTTAAAAAACAAAGGCTATGTTTACTTATTGTGAAGTAATATGCGAATATTATTTTCGTTCTTATTTTTTGAAATAAAAAAAATGAGTGGGGACAAACCTACACATTAAAATAATTAAGAACAGTTATCACTAGTCATCCGCGTAAGTATACATGTCCTAAAAGTATTACAAATCTTCTGTGGAGGATGTGCACAATATTTTATGGATAATATTTTTAGTATTGACATATTATCTACCATTGACGTTTAAAACGGATTAGGATCTTCTTCTGAGCTAAGGGTAAAGATCCTCCTGAGTAAGCCTATCAGGACGTTGAAATTTTATCCAACGGTTACAATTATTATAACTTTTAGAGAAACTCCCTATTTATAACTGTTAGATAAAATTTCAACAACCCGATATGCTTGATCCGTTTATCACACTAACGTAGGCACCCTTTAAATAAAGGGGGCTGACGTTGCCCTTTCAATTGTTTACGCATAACACCTTCCTACTGCATTCACTGGAAATTTCCTAGGCAGAAACGTACAGAAGTCCAGTCAATGTACTATATAAGCCGTGGTCGCATCCGTCTCTCACGAAAACGCCACCCACTTCTCCCTTCTGATGGTCAAACAGATTATATCATAATAATATTCCACCCCTTTGAATTTCAACTGTTGTATAATTTCATCAGACTAGCTTTCCATTCCCTCCTTTCAGGCATTTCCAATTTCAAAACATAAAAATTTCGTCTTCTGAAATATCAAACTATTTTAATCTCCGTGTCCCATTGAGCTTCAAAAAGTTACTATGCCTACGCCTACCCACTTTCTCCTAAAACTACCCGTCTCCTTCCCCATCATCTTCCACTATTTGGTCACGGTAATATTACTTTCCACCCCTGTTCTCGGCGAGGATGATCACCGATACACCGAGTGCCGCCGCTACTACGACTGCGGCCTCCTCAAAAACATCTCCTACCCCTTCTGGGCTGCCCAAGGCCCTCCCCAACACTGCGGCCTCGAATACTACGAGCTCACCTGCCGAGAAGATCAATTCCCTGTCATGAAAATTGAAGACCAAGATTTTCTTGTGTTGAACTTTAGACAGTTTTACACCATGACAATCGCTCGCTCAGATCTCTGGGACACCTCCTGCACTGACCACATCGTCAACACCACCTTGGACTACGACCGGTTTTCCTACGTCCCATCTGTTCGGAACCTGACGCTGCTCTACGGCTGCCAGCCGGGGAACATGTCCGTACCCAATGGCTTCGCTTGCAAGGCAAAGGGTACGGACCGCGACGATATTTCGTACTATGTCGACGACAATTCTTCGAGGATTCATGTGGGAAACTGGGCCTCGTGTTATTTGAATTTTCGAGTTCCGATTAGGTGGGAGGGTGTGGACTTTATGCCTGACACGCCGAATAAGCTCAAACAAGTTTTGAAACAGGGGTTTCAGGTGAGGTACGAGGCGGAGTGGGAGCTCTGTCGGCTATGTGTATTATCCAATGGAACCTGTGGGTCAAACTCGAATTCTAATTCGTTTGTCTGTTATTGCGGCGATGGAATATGTTCGCTTTCTGGTGGTATGTATATCAATTTCTTCTTAATTTCTCCATTAATTTCTTCATATCAGTTTTCTTGGTTTAATTTAAGATTAGGGGAATTAATTAAGGTAAAGTCGAGTAGGATTTTTGGTATGGAATTTCCATTCATAATTACACATTTGAGTTAAGTCAAGTTTGTTAGAAAATTGTGTTTCATCATCCCCATTAAAGTTCAAATCTCTTTCCATAATTTAGATAAATTTTTTGGAACTTTAACGAAAAGCACATGGTACGGTACTGTTCACTTTAACGAAAAACCATATTTTTACACTAAAAAGTCAATCCTGGTACTATTCACTTTACCCTTTATTTTGTCCTTATCATTAAAACTCAAAGTTTTCAAGCCCTTTTCATTAGTTTTCCTTAAATTTTTATATAATCATTACAAATAACGTGCACATCTCTTTACAGTCAACTTTAAATTGACTCCCTATAATTTAAATAAATTCAGAACAAGATAAAATATCGTCTTCTAGGTCATTTGCTGTTAGTTGGTGTTGTAAAGTAGTTGTAACTATGTTCTAGTGCTCACATTGTGGTGGAATGTGCAATTAGGTATAACCCTTGAACTTAATTACCGAAAACTTAGTTCATTAAGGCTTCTTATTTCATCTTAATCCCAATGAGATAAACCCTCCAGACTGGACACAGACACCAGAAGTGATGGTCCTTTGACTGGTCATTGTCATCTCAAACTTGTGGACAAACCAGTTGGTTTGCTACGGAATTGGATCCGCTCCGGACCTTAGTGTCCGGAGCCTAAGGATCAATCCATCTGAATCGTTGATTAGTATGTAAAAGAAATCAGAGCTGTTGGTTTGTATGTGATGGGCTAGGAAAATGAGTTAATAAAGACCGTTAGATTCAATATGTACGGTCGTTAGATTCAATATGTACGGTCCATATTAGTTGATCCTTAAGCTCCGGACTCTAAGGTCCGGAACGGATCCAATTCCGTTTGCTACTAGTCGTAGGCGAAAACACATGCCACGTAGGCATTGACCAAGTCAAAGGTCCACGAGGTTAGCAAGGAATTCTATAAGATTTTAAATACTTCACACTTCATACCAACCTGTAATCTTTGTCACAGTTGATCTTGCAAGTCATAAGTCCACGTACAATTTCTCCACCTTCCGATTGGGATTAGGTGTAGTGGCGCAAGATTGGCATTAATTCAAACCGATCACATTGTAATTAGGGCCAACTTAGAAGAAATTCTTATTTCATACTTTTTTTTTTATGTTTATGCTTGTGTTGTATAGTCAACTGAGAATATTATTTTTCGAGTGTGTTGTATTTGATATCTCCCATCTTGATAGTAAATGTGCTTCACATAAATGAATATAAGAATATTTCACCTCTTGAAAGTGTGCTTCACGAAAATCTACCTACTTGTTTAGAAGAAAATCTTGAGTCCGCTTAGGTGGACAAACACACATTCATCTTGAGTCCGCTTAGGTGGACAAACACACATCTCAACATTATCCATTCCATAAATTAGAGCCCCTCCCGCCCCCTCTGTATCCCACCCACTGTGTCATGGTTGGACAGTGTCACACCACATGGCATCCAGACTAAAGACTTTCTCCTTGTTTAAGCCTCAATAACCTTTTTAGTGAGCTCAGGTTACAAGGAAATGGGTTGAGTGTGCAAGTCTATATACCACTTACTATGGTGTAGAATTAAGTTAGTATTAACCACCCCAACTTGTATTATTATTATACACAATTACTATGACAATGTCTTAAGGCTTCGTTTGGCAGCTCGGACTGTACTGACTATTTCTGTCGGATATGATAAATAGCCATCGGATAGTACTGACTAAATTAGTTGAGCGTTTGGTGCAGTATTGGACTAATGACTGTATTATTTATACCGTGTTTGGTACTGAGCCGGATAGGACAAGGAGAAAAAAATGACAAATCTTTGTTTGTTTAATGAACTTTTCTCATATTTATACATATTGAAAACCACACAAATTTTCAAATAACAATGATAAATAGTAAATTACATACATCAAATTCAAAATATTTTCCAATAACATAAAAGAAGGTTCACAAAAAACAACTACAAGTCATTACGTTATATAGATTAATCCAACCACATATCCAAGTTCATAAAATATACAAATGCAAGTTGGTTTCACTAAGAAACAGTTTGTCCAGATAGCCAAAATATATGCATGCTGCTGCTTTGCAAACTCTTCCCTCTGCTTTGCTTTCTCCTTAAACACCAACAAACACAGGGAGCATCAACAAAACAAATATTTCCTGCAATCATAAAGGCAAGATGCATTAATGTCGCAAACATAAGTCCAAACAACCAATAAGAGAAATTTAACAAACAAAACCTAGACAACCCCACTTAAAATCTGATAAATGCAATGAATAAAATAACTAAAAAAGCTTAAAAGGAACAAGATTTGAAAGCCTAACAAGACAAACAACAAAACGAAGACAAAGCTTTTGCTACAAACCATTGAAGTAAGTGTCATGGAAGGATCAACACACCACTGAAGTGAAACTAGCCAGCGTTTCATTTACTTAGTCCCACCACTTAAAGCTTCAGTTACAAACAGAAAAATGAACCAAGACAGTATGTTATTCTCAGTTAACATATAAAACTTATGAGAAAATACTACCACACAAAACACAACAATTTTGTATAAGCATCAAATACACGATATTCCATATAAGATACGAAGTCCCCAACATATGCAGTCTAACGACTCTAACATGTAAACAGATACCATATAACACACTTTAATCACTTCCTTTCGGCCCACATTATCTCTTCTTCTATTTAACCGCCCTTGACAATCTTGTAGCTTGCCCATCAAGTACAGAGTAACCTTCAGTTCTTGCCCATCAAGTACAGAGTAACCTTTACAGTTAATCATCTGCACAAATTTTATATAATATCCCATTTGCCCATTACTAATCTTGTTCATCTAAGCAATTTTTTTACCATTAACGTTTGACCACTCCTTTAATTACTCAATTATTTTAACATAATCATATCAACAATAAACACATAACAGCTAAATCAAAGCAAACTTTCACCATGCATCAGTCACTCAACAAAAAATTGAAAGACAAAATCTTGAAAATTCAACGAAATCCCACTAACCAAATCTCAAATCAAAGAAAACCCACATAAGAATTTGCAGAACAATGATATGGAAGCAGCTCATTTTTTAGCACAATTCTCGTGCCAAAATTCAACCCCAACAAACCCTAATTCGACCCCATCAACAAACCCTAACATTCGAAAATTCTAATTAAAACACAAAATTATATAATCAATTGCATAATTACAGAGAAAACAATAACTAGATTCAAACAATTGAAAGAAAATTGCAAGAAAAAGAGGAGGGGGAAGAACAGAGGGAGGGGCAGATGCTGGGAAGAAGAAGAAGAATGAGAATACAAACCTGGGAGCGGTGCATCTGGAGAGGAAGGAGAGACCGAGAGATTTTCTTGTATCGTCTGGAGAGGAAGGAGAGAGCGAGAGTGCGTTCTCAGGAGAAGGAGAGAGCGAGAGTGCGTTCCGACTAAATTGTCCCGTGCTTTTAGAGGGATAAGGAAACGGGTGTTCACCGTATAAAGGAGGTGGGCCCGGATTATTTAATCCGGTGGTTATTTAATACAAACGGACGCCAAATACCGTATTCCGTATTATTAATCCTATCCGATGTGTTATCCGACGTACCAAACAAGGCCTAAGTCTTCGATTTAGTGCACGTCTCCATCATCTTCGAGCATATATTTTGTCTTTGTCCATGTTACTTTTGTGGCAGGCAACCCATAGAAAAGAGCTCAAACTTCCCTACTTTCTACACTTTCGGTTCAACCAACCACAACTCTCAAGTTTCAAGCAAATGCCACTCAAAAAATTGAAGTTTCTGCCCTGTTATTGTCGCTTCGAATTGAAGATTTCTGAATGTTTTTTGGTCCTTAACCTAAACAAAATATTTTGTACCTTTTCGGTTTGTTAATTTACAATACTTCGGTTTCTGGTATATTTCAATTATTTTTTGTTTTTATTCAGTTACTATCGATTTTTATTGAATTTCGCTCAAGTGGGTTTTTCTTTTGTTTTGGTACTTAGCACTGATTTTTCTAAATCTCATTCCTTGTTTAAAAAGCAAAGTCAACATTAGTGCCAAAATGATGTATATGCTTCACTAAATATCATCAAAATACTAGTTTCGTGTCTATTTTTCTCTTTGACCAAAAACATAGTGGAAAAATAAAATATTGCCATAAAGTGTTTTGTTTGGTTTTAAGCTTTCCAGCATTGCCTACCAAAATACCACAAAACTACAGAAAGCAAAGTCTTATTTTGTATGATATTTTCTCTTGTCTGGTCCTTCTTGGCTAACTTCCCACCAATTAGCTGTAAATCCTTTCTGGGCGGTGTTATGCCTTTGGAATATCGTTTAATTGTTAGAAAACGCTTTTAACTCTTTCAGCAGCACTTTCAAACATATCCAAAGTTTATTTTAAAATCTTCCTTTGGGGTCCATTTTGAAGAAACAAATGTCATTGCTGTTGCTTAAACCATTGGTTTGTTTACTCATATTTGTCCTCCTTTTCCAAATCTTTCCATCTTATCCATTCAATTACAAACTCCCATTACTTTTCTTTTTATTCCAAACTCCCATTAATTCCATCACTTGCTTTCCTTCTCTGTTTTTCTCTCCGTTTCTTGATCATGAATCTCCTCCGTATTATTGTTGTCACCATCATATTCACAACCTTCGCCAACCGAGCTTTCTCCGTAGACCGAAGATTCGAGGCCTGCGAGCCTCAAACGTGTGGAAATGGCCCGAACATAGGCTACCCTTTTTGGCTTTCTGGCAAGCAAGAGTCCTGCGGTTACCCGAGCTTCAAGATCACCTGCAATGAAAAATATCCGGTATTTAGTATTTCCGACGATGATTACATCATTAGAGAAATCTTTTACTCAAACCATTCGTTTGTTCTGGCTAACGCCGCAGTCTATGATGACAAATGTCCACTTCCTCAACACAACTTCAGCCTCGATCGAACGCCTTTCAACTATAGTTCAGATCACGTCAATTTTTCCTTCTTTTATGATTGCCCTGAAGACGATTCGGAATACATGCTTTCATATCCCATTGACTGTGCTAGCAATGGCAGCCATCACTCTTTTGCTACTTTTCACAAGGAGCTAGTTGAGCGCATGAATTCGTTAGACTCGTGCCGGTCTTCAGTTCATTTGCCTTTCGATGGTGCTGCTAATGTCGATGCATTGATGCAAATGAACTACACCGAAATCTTGAAAATGGGGTTCATTTTGAACTGGACTGCGCAGAATTGCAGCAATTGCGAGAGGAGTGGCGGGCGCTGTGGATTCGATGACAATGAATTCGTTTGTTTTTGCAGTGATCGACCTCATGTCAAAACCTGTGATGATGGTACTTCTGTAGTAAAGCTTTCCCTTTTAGTAGTGATTGAATTTTTCAGAAAAACTGCCCACAGTAAAGTTTCTTCTGCAGTGTTTGTGCTTGTAGGTAGCCATGCTAGTTCACGTTGATTAGCATAGAGAGAATACGCGTGTTTGAGGCTTAAATTTGTATCACAAATTTTATTCTAAGAATTCTGTTTTTTTTTTTTTTTACTTCTTTTGCAGACAATAATTCTTTGAACTGGAAGAGGAAGGTTATTGTAGGTAATATATTAGCAAACCCTTTTGTTTCTTCAATTATTTAATGTTCCATCACATTTCTCAATTTGATTATATTCACTAGTCCTCATCTAATTATCAATACTGCAACCTCTTCTCAGGTGTTTGCACAGCTGTTGCTACCGTCGCTATAATGTGTGTTATTTTCTTTGTATACCAACGTCGAAACAGAAAACTAAACGATCCATCGTCCCTTGTAACTCGAAGCATCCTTTCGAGTACCTATTCTATGGACGACGATATGGAGAAGGGAAGTACCTACCATGGAGTACATATTTTCAGCTACAAGGAACTTGAAGAAGCAACTAATTATTTCGATTCTGCGAAAGTACTTGGCGATGGAGGCTTTGGCACAGTTTATCATGGTAATAAGATCACAGATTTTCTTAACCATTTTATGAACCCTTCTAGTGCTTAATTTCTAAGTTTCATATATAGGAAATGTGCGGGATGGGAGAGCGGTTGCGGTCAAGCGTCTATATGAAAACAATTTCAAGAGAGTTGAGCAGTTCATGAATGAAATCGAGATTTTAGCCCGCCTGCGCCACCAAAATCTTGTGTTGCTCTATGGTTGCACCTCTCGTCACTGCCGAGAACTCCTCCTTGTGTACGAGTACATTCCTAATGGAACTCTTGCTGAACATCTTCACGGAGAAAAAGCAAAACCTGGCTCGCTTCCATGGCTTACTCGAATAAAGATTGCCATCGAAACCGCGAAGGCACTGTCATATCTTCATGCATCTGACATTATCCACCGTGACGTGAAAACTACGAATATTCTCCTTGACAACTTCTTCTGTGTCAAGGTAGCAGATTTTGGACTATCTCGCCTCTTCCCCATGAACGTCACGCACATCTCAACTGCTCCACAAGGGACTCCAGGTTATGTTGATCCCGAGTATAACGAATGCTACCAGCTTACGAGTAAGAGTGATGTCTATAGCTTTGGTGTGGTGCTGATTGAGCTCATATCATCCATGCCAGCCGTTGACATCACGAGGCATCGACACGAGATCAATTTGTCTACCATGGCAATCAACAAGATTCAAAAACAAACATTACATGAGCTAGTAGACCCATACTTAGGGTTTGAATCAGACTCCAGAACACGAAAAATGATCATTGCTGTGGCCGAACTAGCATTTCGCTGTCTGAATAGTGACAAGGACTTGAGACCTTCCATGATTGAGGTGCTTAACGAACTAAAGCGTATACAGAGCGATGATTTTGACATACAAAAAGCAGAGGAGATTGATATTTCAGCAATCGATATTGTGCCGTTAAAGAGTGATCCGCTGCCTGCTTCACCAGATTCCGTGGCATTCAAATGGACTAGCGTGTCTACGACACCAAATGCCAGCGGCTAAGTAAACTTTATAGTTCTCGTCCATAAGTCGTGGCTGTCATGTTGTATTCGTCTACCGGATTTGTGATTTGTTGAATGAGATGTATATATTATGAGAGAGCTCAAAGAGATGTATGTATGGTAAGGCAGATCCGTGTTTAGTGCAGTTTTGAGGCTACAAGGTTACATTGGTTGTCTATTTGCAACTCATCCAGTTAAGGCAAACGATCATCCTTGTTTTTGAAGAATGTTAAGTCTCACATCAAAAACCTATCGAATCAGATACAACTCATGTTGAATGGTTTCACCATTAATTTCATTGAACTTTTTTTTTTTGTATAATCCTCTTGTGGCTATTGAGTGCGATTTCTTCAGATCGAGGGTAATTTTGGCTTTTAGTATACCTTCATGCTCACTATATCACTCAGTTTAGTAATGCAATTCATGCATTATTACTGAAAATTTATTCGGACAACACAGGAGTAAAAATGCGTGCGGAAATCATTTTAGTTAAAATTTATTCAATAGCTCTAATGAACTGAATTATCGATAAGATGTACACCAATTAATCCAGAAAAGAACATGTATGTGATAACGTGGAAGATTCTGGTGGTGTTCTTACAGGAAAAATTAGGAAAGGCTTCGGTGGTATTTGCAAGGCTTCAATGCTTCCTTGCAGCATTTCAATCCTACCAAAATCAACTTCCTCGCCAATTCGTTTTCCTCTTCCGTCACAGCATTGGGCAACCCTAAACTGGTGCCTGCCTCAAGCTTCTTATAAATCCAATCCGGAAAAAAAACATCACTCGTGTGGCTCGCTCGGGCGTTGACGTTCTGTTTTCCTCCAGCCATCTCCAGAACCATCATTCCATAGCTGTAGGCATCGGACTTAACTGAAACTCCTCCAAAGTTTCTACAAACCACTTCCGGAGCAATATACCTAATCGTCCCCTTGCATCCAACATCAACACAATACTCTCCTTCTTGAGGCAAAGTTTCGAAAGCCCAAAGTCAGAAATCTTGGGGCAAAAGTTATCGTCCAAAAGAATATTATGCGGTTTTATATCAAAATGCTAAATTTATGTGTTGCATCCGCTGTGCAAGTACTCGGGTCCTGAGCTATCCCAGTTACAATATCGAGTAGTTGTTCGACTTCCAATGGTGGACTACTCGTTTGCAGAGCATTTTCGATTCGAGTGGTCCATTGGGCATGAACTCATATATAATATGAGAGCTTTTTTCTGACCTTCAAAGAATACCATAGCAAAGTGACAACATTGACATGGGAAGTTCTACTAATGCTTGCAACCTCGTTTATGAAGTTCTCTCCTTTCCCTTTGGATGCATTGAGAACCTTCACAGCCACAGGACTACCTTCCGGCAGATAACCTTTGTACTCATTTCCATAACTTCCTTGACCTAGTTTATCTTTAAATGACTTGGTCATTTTTCGGATTTCCGAACACTTGTATCTTTTTACTAACAGAGGACCATTTTCCCGAATGAAAGCCTCGAGACCTCGATCATTCTTTTTTCTTATGAAATTTCGTATGAGATTTTTTATCCTATTTTTGATATAGCAAAGAAGAACCCAGAGTAAGATCGCACATACTGCAATAATAGCAATATCTGTTCGCAGAACCACAAGATGATTCAGACATTTTTGGTATAAATAGAAAACAGTGACGAAAAGTGGTAAAAAACATTAGAAAATACTGATGAAAAAGAGACTGATATGTTACCGATGGCCACTAGTAGTGCATTATAGTTGCCTGCATAAGCAATAAAACAAAACCAGATTTGTTAGAAATTTTTTGGGGATACATATATCTAAATTCTAAAGGAAAGCCTCTGAAAATAATAACTTAAACTGGGAACTGTTATGGATTTGATGGCACACGATAACAAGCACAAGCCCTGCTAAAATTTCAAGTCATAGATCAAAACAGATGATCTGTTAAAACAAAGAAGGCCTTTTGGCCTCGTTCAGTGCCTAAGATTGGATTGTAGCGGATAACTCTTAAAATTCAAGGTATGTTGAAGATACAAGCGGATGATTTTTCATTTGGAGGGGATTAGCATGAAAGAAGTTCCTCCCTTGTAATCTACCACCTTGGGGAGAAATTCTTGAAGCAAACATGACCAAAAGGACTAAGACAGGTAAACCTAGTGTATACTATGTTAGAATAAGAATCAAATTTTGGCAATCAGTTTTGTTTTGTTTTTTTCGTTTCTTTTCTCGTGCTTTGATTTGTTAATAGACTATTACCTGGACATTTCTGAGGATAGGATCCAATATAAGATAGGCCTCCGCAGAAGCAGAGAAAATCATTCGAGGTCGAGTTGGATTCACAGGTGCCATCTGAAGCCTTGCATGAACTACAGAGCTCCAAGTCGTACTCGACCTCAAATCCTTGTTTCAAAACCTGTTGCACATATGTTGTACCGTTATCCGGCGAAAGATCCAACTTCATCCTGAATATTGGGACTCGGATACTGGACAGGCTTGAGGTACTATTCGGAACTGGACGAGGAAGCCCGGGGGGGGGGGGGGGAGTCATCGACAAAGAATGCGAAATCTTTGTTTGTACCATCTACTTTTCAGGTAAAGTTGTTCGGGACTGATTCACTGTGAGGCATGCAGCCATAGAATATAGTCATGTTCCGAATAGTTTGAGCGTTGTAAGCAAAAAGGTCGTAGTCCAAAGTGACATTGATGAAGTTATTAGTGCAAGGACTGTCCCATAGATCCGGCCGTGCAATCGTCATGGCCTGAACATCTTGGCTGATGTTCAGTACGAGGAAATCTTGGCCTTGGATTCTCATGAGCGGGTTTCAATCTTCTTCGCAGTGAGTATGTAACATCCCACATCGACCAACGGAGAGGGGATGATGCACCTTATATGTACATGCCCACCTCTTATAGCACGAGGTTTTTTGGAAGCTCACTAGCTTTGGGCTCCATCGGAACTCTGAAGTTAAGCGAGTTCGCGCGAGAGCATTCTTAGGATGGATGACCCACTAGGAAATTCTCGTGTGAGTTCCCAAAAACAAAATCGTGAGGGCATAGTTGGGGCCCAAAGTGGACAATATCGTGCTACAGTGGAGTCGAGTCAGGGATGTGGTGGGGGCCCAGGTCAGGATGTGACAGAATGGTATCAGAGCCAATCTGCTATGTAGTGCGAGTGTGTCGACGAGGACGTCGGGCCCCTAAGAGGGGTGGATTGTAACATCTTACATCGACCAATGGAGAAGGGATGATGTGCCTTATACATGCCCACCTCTTATAGCACGAGGCCTTTTGAGAACTCACTGACTTCGGGTTCCATCGGAATTTCAAAGTTAAGCGAGTTCAGGCGAGAGCATTCTCAAGATGGGTGACTCACTGGGAAGTTCTCATGTGAGTTCTCAGAAACAAAACCGTGAGGGCGTGGCTGGGGCCCAAAGCGGACAATATCGTGCTACGGCGAAGTCAACCTTTGTGGCCACAATGCCGGGGACGATTGTTGCCTCCCCAGAAGGGGTAGGATATATTCTTAAGCAAACTGCAGTCATAGGGTTGGCTGCACTCAGTGAATTGGCTGTTAGCAGAGGGATAGAATATTGTGAACAAGAAGAAGATGATGAAGAAAGGTAGTGAAAACATTATTGGGTTGCTCAATTGCACGTACAAAGAATTGGATGCACTCAGCGAATTGGCCATTACAAAAAACCCAGTGAGTTGGCTCCAGCGCTCGTCCGCCTCGCAGTTTCATGCCCATCACAAAAAACCCAACAAGGAGCAAAGATTTCCCGTCAAAGAAAAACTCGAACATCAAGCTGATGAAGACGGTTCACATGGGTTCCAGCGGGGGCATATTAGCGTCGGCGGGTTATCGATTGGAGGAACTCCATCTGCCACACTTTGCATGTTGTTGTTCGTCTATGAGGAAGAGGAAGAAAGAGAGGTGGTGTGGTACCAGATTTGGACGGGATTGGGGTTGGCGTGTCTAGCTGGAGAGGGGGTTGTATGGCCTGGAGATTTTGTATTTGAATCTTTCAGTTTTAGTTTTTAATTAATTAATAGAACAAATGTCGTGATTTCATTGAAGAGGTATTCCAACTGTCAGTTGTCCATGGTGATGTTGGCTCGGTAGTCGAGATGTTTTATTTTTTGGGTTTAGTTTTTGTTTAATTGATTTTCTTAAAAACTAAATTAGATAGATTCCTTAGTGGGGGACGTGGCATCCTCCGATAGGATTCTCTCATCTCTTTTTTTACTTCCTCTTGGTCACGGTTAAATCATGTTAACATCTTATATTAATTTTTTATAGCAAGAGAAAGATAAAATAAGAGAATGTGAGAGGAAGGGATAGAAGGGGATGAAAAAATGAGGGTAGAGCATCTTAATCCGGTGATGTGGGGTTCCGTCACCTCAAAAAATTTCTCCTAAGAATCTTCGTGGTAATTGATGCAACCAAATATTCGGAGCATGTTCATTGTTTGACTTGTTTTTTTTATGAGCTTTTAATTTGCACATGTTTTAAAAATCGCAACAGGCTAACAGGCCGTTGGTTACAATCACGATTAATTTTTAGACATTTAAAAATTGAAAAAAGGCGTCCAGACTTGCCTAGCCCATTTACTAAGCACCTACTAATCGCGACTCCCACTTAGACAAAAAAAAAAGATAACTTCCATTCTGTATTTTATTTTTTTCAATAATTGTAAATGACTGTTCGGATACTTGGATGAACTCATTATATGCTTGTTGTTACATCCCACATCGCCCAGCAATCCCATGATAGGTGACCCAATGGGAAGTTCTCGTGTGAGTTCCCAGAAACAAAACCGTGAGGGTGTGGTTGGGGCCCAAAGCGGACAATATCGTGCTACGGTGGAGTCGAGCCCAGGATGTGGTGGGGGCTCGGGCCGGGATGTGACACTTGTTCCCTATGTTTTCAATATGTTCTAATATTTTATAATATATATGTCGTTTAATTTTATAGTTTATGTATCCTCATACAATTATGTATTATATGTGTTTAAGTATGAGTAGACATTTATTTATATGTTATATAATAATTTAATTAATTAAAAAAACCGCCTAGGGCCAACCAAGATGCCTCCCAGGCGTTAGAATCCTACTCGCCAGTCGACTAGCGCTTAGTACCTTTTAGAACATTGATTTGCGTAAAAATGTTGCTACTGAGACTATAATTTATAAATTACATTTGAACCATCTATCTAATAGAGATAATAGCCTGTAAAACAAGTCAATCTCACTGCGAAATAGTAACATTTAGTTTATAAGATGCTATCTTCTTGGTATTTTTGTGGAAAATTTTACTTCAT